TATCGGTGAGCGTCGGTGGGTTTTCTGTATACTTTAGTAGATAATTTTTTGCCGCAAAGGGATACTGTTACATCCAGGAAACAGATGGATGCCTTCGAGTACGAATGTGACAATTAAATGGATAGATGAACCTTGTTAAAGTCTTCAATGAAAGTCATTAGTCCCGCTTCGCCGTGATGCCAGATAAAAAATATGTCGTCTATAAAACGTTTGTAGTAATATGGCTGTAGTCTGCGCGTTGAAAGAAAATGATTTTCCAATTGGCCCATAAATATATTCGCGTAATTTGGACCAATTTTGGTGCCCATTGAAGTGCCACTAACTTGTACGTAGTGAACACCGTCAAACTGAAAATTGTTAAACTACAGGATGAGTTTTAATAATGTGGCTAATGTACAGCTATCAACAGATTTGTCACATGATGAGTCGTTATAAGCATTCACTACTGCACGAATGCCGTTTTCGTGGGCAATATTAGTGTAAAGTGACGCAACATCTAATGTTACCAGAAATGAGTCAGCAGGTATATTCAGGTCGATGATGTCAGCGAGGAAATGAGAAGTGTCCTTCAGATAGGATGGAAAAGTTGGAGGTAGTATACTAATCAGGCCATCGACATAGCTTGAAAGTAGTTCGGTGACAGTGCCAATGCCTGACACTATAGGACGACCGGGGTTATTGGGCTTATGTATTTTAGGCAATAGGTAAAACCTTCCTGGAACAGGGCTCAGTGGGACTAATGAGTACTTTGCTTTATCGGGAAGTTTGTCATCCAGTATTAAATGCTTGATTGTATCAGTAACGATGTCCTTAAATTCTTTAGTGGGGTTTACACCGAGTCGCTTGTAAAACGTGTCATTATCTAGCTGTCTCTGAGCTTCACAAACGTAGTCCGTTGTATTCATTATCACGATTGCGCCTCCTTTATCAGCGGGTTTTATTACAATATCTGTGCGTTCTTGTAAACATTTAACTGCATTCCGTTCTTTGAATGTGAGGTTTCCTTTGAATGAAATGTGGTTCCCATAAGCCTGCAGGATGTCACGCTGAACTGCAGAAATGTACATATCGAGGAATTTATCGCGTTGTGTTGGCGGCGTCCAGTGTTGATGGGAAGACATGTTACTCTTGGATGATGAACGTTTATGTAAGCATTCGCTTAGCCTCATACTGCGCGCGAATTCATCTAAGTCTTTTATCAAGTTAAATTCATTGTAGCCGCCAGTAGCTGGACAGAAATTCAAGCCCCGAGCAAGCACACTCATTTCTGAGTCAGATAAAACCACGTTTGAAACGTTTACTACGTTAGGTCTAGCTGATAGTTTGTCTCGTCTAGAACAGGATGATTCGATGGGAAGGGAATCTACGTTGGTCAGTGGTTTTGGAAGGGTAATGTGGTCACGTAAAAACGTTTTTGCTTTCTTCTGCTCAATTTCTAATTGTTTTCTCTGTTCGTATTTAACCAGCGAAGCCGATTCAGAGGGATCCAACATACGAGCCTTGCGCAACTGTCGTTCACTGTTTAGCAACGCTTTGACAGCTGAATTATAATGGTCGATGATGATGCGCATGAGAGCTAGGGACGCATTCTTTAACGTTTCGTTCCATTTCTCGACGTTGTGTTGTGACATTTGGGAAGTTGCTGGTTTGAGCGAAATTACAAGTCCTTTCTGTACAGTCAAGGCGTTTAGATAGGTTTTTAGCGTAGATGCGTGAAGTTTGTATTTTACACGTTTTTCCACAATTTTTTTTATTTCTGAGAAAGTCACGACTCTGAATAGGGTTGTCGCATGAGGTCGGTATTAGTCAATTCTTTGAAGATACAGTGCTTTTCTCACGATTGCATTTTCTTAAAGGGTACAGGTGAGACAAAGAAATGTTTCCAGACCTTTCACGAGTGGAGAGTCCTTGGTTCTTTGCTTTCCCAGCAACTGTGGCGTAGGTAGATATTTCTTGCGCCAGTGGCTCGGTGTAGATTTCGGGCGTTGGGGTGAAGATGAGCGGGGCGAGGACGCAAGTCCTCGCCCCGCTCATCTTCACAATTGGGGGCCCCCATGCTATGAGTGATGATTCACAATTGGGGGCCCCCATGCTATGTCTTTAAGAAGTGCGTGTTAGTGTAATATGCACGTATGCCCTGACGAAAGCCGGTCCCCGGCCGTAACGTTGGCAATAAAGCATCGTTTTTCGTTTTCTCGTTCGCTTCTTCTGGTGACTTACAACTCGACCGGAATCCAGGAAGACTTTCAAGAAATATATATATATATATATATATATGGTTTTGGGACGTTAAACCCCACATATCAATGAAACACACCAAAGAAAGGGCCTGTCAATGTTTGCATCAACTGTCCTAGAGGGATGTCGAGCAAATATACAGAGTTGTTACCTTTGCACAATCAATGTATGTCTATCAGACATACAGTGTACGTTTACAGACATCTGATGGATGTCCAGAACATCCAAATTGTACGTCCTGCCAATATTCGTGGTTACTTGTGTGTTGTTGCAGGCGATGTGAAAAATCAAGCAGTGCAGTTTTTTGCTTTGCTACCTTGATAAGCTTAGCGGACTAGAGAGACTTCGACTTATTTCATACGAGACTGAGATAAAAGTCGATGATGTCTCCTCTACCAGATTTCCACCCTTTAGCAGAGATGCCTCTGGCTTGTCCCTCACTGCGACATACGCGAGCATATTTTTAGAGACTTTGTGTTACTGACAAATAACACAGTCAAAGACCATGTGAAAGCCAAAATGAGGCACACAAAGTTTTGTGAGATGAGAGTCTTTCAATGAAGCACCTCTCATCGAAACAGCTCGCCGTCCAGTGCAAGGCAAGCCTGCACAAGATGCAGCCACCAATCCAGTTCACGCAGCACAAAACTGTGATTTCCGAAGTGTTTTTAACAGTGACCATGCAGAGGCTATTTGATCTACATTCAGGGAAACAGGTGGAAAAAAATTCTGCTGGTGCAAAATAGCAATTTTGTGCAGAGGGCACGCACATATCGGGCGGCCTGTTGCTTCAATTTCTGTCTCTCGTGCTTTTGCTGCTTTCCTTTACCTCTTATTTTGCTTCTGTTGTTGGACAATGCTCCTTCCCCCTGAATGTCATCATGATATCAATAGCCACCCTTACCCAACGTTTATAGATACTTTTTCAGTTTCTCAACTCCCCACTTTGCCTATGAGGAGCAGGCGGCTGGCTGCAGTTCCAACTACCGTGGCGCTGCAGTCGAACTTAGTGCCAAGCAAACGAGGGTCGTCTGCTACGGCTAGGTGCAGTGTAGCCGGTGCGCAATGATTTCGTGTTATAAGCCCTGCACCGCAACTTCTTGTTTTAGGCATGAAGAGTATAACGTTGGGCCAAGATGCGTGTGCGGCGTCTTTCTAGGTTCTAGGTAAAAATATTAGCTCGCGTAAGCATGGTGCTAGGCCATTATTTGTCAATTAAAGATCCGTTTTGTCACCTTGTAACTACTTTTTCTTTCAGGTATAGTCGGAAGAAAATTTGGAGCTCAAATTTATTAGCCTCGTCTCAAAGAGGCCTCGGTAAAAGCTGCGATTCAAAAGTTTCCAGCTCGGCTGTTTAGAAGCTATTTTCGCGAGCCTTAGCATACGGAACTTCGACCCTGTGCACATTAACTTTGCACAGTGATAAGAACCTCAACAGGCTGTACCATAAAGGAAGTTGAAACTGAGCCTTTGCTGTGAGGTTTAAAAAACTACTGAAACGACACCATTTCTCTGCTCAGCAGGTATAAAGCGGTGCACTTTTTTCTTCTGAAGTATTCAGATTTCAGGGTGTCTATCAGTGGATAACCCTTCGCATTAATCAAACGAAAATGCAAATTTTGTGAAACTAAGAAAACATCAGTGTATTGACACAAGAACGCTTGTGATGATCACGCACTAACTTTTTACAAGAGTATTGCGTTTAACTTATCAAAATAAAAATGTATCTAATGTACACGTGTCACGAGCATTCGAATTTCACACAAGTTCCAATAGTGCATTATTTCGGGCCTATGAGCAGCAAACAAGGCATGAGCCAATCTGTTGTGTACCTATACTGATTCAGAGATTTCGCTTCTTGTTGCATGATAGATGTACATGCAACAAGAAAAAAATTACACACTTCCTGCACTTCAAGTAAATCTACAACTAGATCTTTCAGAGTCTCTAGGGACGCAATCTTCAATTTTTCACTCAGCCGGTGTATCTCAAGTTTTCTCCATTCTCAAGTGTGGGTGGTACAGATTAAACGCTTCCTTAACTTGCTGGTTGCGATCTGCACCTTGTTCTTGGTTGCTTGTCTTTTTTTTTTCGTGTTCTGACTAAAATTACACGAGACACGCATACCTTTGTCAGCAAGTCCTGCCCACACAGTCCTTGTGATGAATATATCTTAGCGACACACTTTCCCCTTCGCTGTGTCAACAGGTGAATCCAGCAGCTCAATTTGGGAAGGGGGGGTCACCTGAAGTAACATTGGAACGGGGCGTGTGCCCAGAAATTTTGTTTTTACGAGCAAAAAAACCACTTCATAGCATAAATTAATGTGTGCTCACAGTAGTTTCACCCTTTTGTTCTAAGTGTCGATAGGAGGTGAACTAGGAGGAGGAGGTTAGGAAGTGCTGAATAGGAGGAGGTTAGGAAGTGCTGAAACACACTTTGAGAGGGGGGGCGATCGCCCTACTGTCCCCCCCCTCTATATTCGCCATTGGCCGAGGCAAGGCTGCATACATGACTGCCTTTACATCTTTCAGTGACCACACTGGTATATCAAAAAGTAAGTTTTTCAGCAATTTTTCGTTTGCCGAAACCACGTAGGTCAAGTTCTCGTGAATGACAGTTCTCTTGAGGATGCAGTAGATGTATACTTTGAATTCTGCATAATATAAGACTATTACCAGAGGTTTCTTTGACTTCTCAGGGACCGACGAACTATAGTTGCTGCAAAGCTTAAGTGACGCAAACTTTTTTCAATCACTCAGGAAGACTGGGGTTCTCCGAAGGAGCAGGAATTCCTCTGCAGGAATTTTTCTGGAAGCATGCAAGGCAGCCGCAGTTGGTTGAGGTACAGCCACCCTCTCCTCGGGGAACTTCATCTCATGTGGCGTCTTGACAAGTACACCGGGAGGTTCACAAATAAACAAGGGACTGCATCACTCTTTAATGCCCATGGATCATTATCTATTTTGACTTCTCCATTTATGACATCCTTAAGTCTTCAGGATGTCGATTTCTTGAAACTGAACATCGTGCACGTTGCATGTCTTTACCAAACTTCTGTCCACGTGTGGAATACAACTTTCCCACTTCTGCAATAAAAGCAAGTCAGACGGCGGAGAGAAGTGGCATTTCTCGGAGCTTTTCCTATCCCAGCTGGTGTGCCTGGGCTCAAAACACATTGTTATGATGTTTGTAAGGTCTGAGCTACGGCGTAAGGATAGCAGCAACAGTATAATCAACCTCAGGAGACACATACACGTGCTCAGTGCTTCCACACGTGGTCAATGCTCAGATCGTGCCCGCGATGTCAACCATCAGTTTCGTACGTCTTAGATGTCCGAGTGTCTTTGTAAGTGTAGGCGTCAAATTGTCTTCAGGAGACCGTCGAAGCATGCCAGGTGTACAGAAAACAATGAGGCATAGACACAGAAAAAAAAGAGAGCCATCAGACACTGGAAAGGAACGCACGGCAGTGAAGCCAGCGGAGAACAGCTGTTTACTTGGCGTGAAGTTGGACTGTAGCGCGCTCCCTAGGAGCAAATTGCACCTGCCATGAAAAAATAACAACACCCGCATACCGTGTATGCAGTCGTACGGAATCATAAGTAGGGGTATTTTCTAGTAACCTGTAATTAGAGTTCTTCAATTATGCAAGCAGCCAAACTCCCCATAGACTCGATATATAGAAGTCTCCACACAAGACTCTCTGAAGTCACTGCGGTCTGCTGATTGTTGCATTAACGGTTGGCCAAAAAACAAACCAATAAATGCTCGCAACGACGCCAGTGCTGTGTGCGGTGTTAAGCTGCTTCAGAAAAGTGCACGCAAGAGCTGGCACCACAGCGCTTTAGTGTAATGTGTCGCTGGTCTCAGATGGCGCAACAATCAGCAGGCCTCCGCAGAATCGTCCGCGGGCAGGACCGTGCTTCGGGACACAGTTTCACAAATTGTATGATTCAAGAACACTGGCGTTTAGGTAGGGTAAGCACGATAATCCAACCTGGTTTACGGGCAAGTGCTTGGTTAGCACCTGCCTACAGTGAAGTTACATCTGAAAACACCAATTTTCTTCAAGTCATTTTTGTTAATGCATTTAGGGCAAACATGAAAAATTCCAATGAGCCCACAAGAACATGCTTTGCCACAGTTTGCTTTCTCGTCACATTGTGAGAGTTTGCTTTGTCACAGTTTGCTGCCTCACTTGCAATATGAGAGGAAGTTGAGTTGACGTAACAACACATCAGCAACAGCATAACAGGTGCCCAGACATATTAATGAAGCATGTGCACACACTGAAGTCTGCACCCAGCTTTTTTGAAAAGTCAGTGGGGTTTACTCAGTCGGCAACAGCTGTACCAGCAGGCCCTCACTAATATGCTTCCTTGAGTGTGTGTAGTCCCACTTGATTTCTTTGACCACTATCTTTTTGAAACTATTTTGATGTTTAGCAACTAGTTCGTTTTGTCTCAGTTTTTGATGAAAGTTTTACCTTTGATATTTTTAGCCTCTATTCCCAGCATTCCTTGTTTATCTTGAACAGAAAAGTTCTTGAAACGAGTCAACGCAAGTTTGCTTTAGCCACCTTACTGTTGCCTCCTTTTCGAGTCCTGAACAAGTACTGCATTTGCAAAAATAAACTCAATCGTGAGCCACTTCTGCCTCTTGAATCGTACATGTGCCAACTTTCTGCACCTATTCTCTTGCGTAATCATCGCCCAGGCATGTGTTTTAGCTAAGTTTGACATTAATTAGACTGATAATGCCAACAATTTATGAAACGACACTTTGAATCTATGAAGAGCACTTAATTTGTTAGCTACACCAAAGCGGCATGGGCACAGCCATCATTTCAAAAGCAGTGCCAACTCGTGAAACGAGTTATGCGATTGCGTGCCAGCCAATCATCGCAAACATTTGTCATCGCAGTAATAGCTGTTGCAGCCAAAATGTCACACGGAATCGTTCCATTCCCTGGTGACAGCTGTCAGAGCAAGAGAGGTCTTATAGCCACGAATTTTGTCCCGAACAAGCACTTGCCTCGAACAGTTCGATCTCGCGATGGTCGATTTCCTCCACGAACGGCCCTGACCACTCGAGCGAGCCGCTGCTCGGCAGACTGTCATTTATGGTAGCAGAAACTACACTACCACTAAAAACGTCGAACCTCCAGCACGCCGTAGAAGGCAAACCACGGCTAACATTTTAGACACTCTGAACCAATACACGGAACAATTGACCACAGCAGACCATTCGACCTCACTGGAGTGTATTAAAAGTGTAGAGTGGCGTGACCACGCCTCGCCGCCTGATCCCTTCCCCGTTGCCATAGCAGCGGCGCTGCAGTCGAATAGTACTGAAGACGTGGGAGAAGAAATCGACATAAGCACGAAAGCCGAGCTAAGTCAGACGTAGGCTATGTTAACGTGCAGGGTGGCAGGAATAGGTTAAAGTGGGAGAGATAGAAGAGCAGTTGAGGCAGGAGGAGCTGATGGTATGTGGGGTTGTGGAGACCCATCTTCGGGACATGGGCAACCACCCTGCAATCTGGACTACGTATGGGAATATTGCAATAGAACAAAAGACAGCAAAAAGGGGGGTGGAATTGGTGCATTTATACATAAGAGCATGGGTTAGCAAAGAGTCAAGCAGGGATGAATGGAACATTTATGGTTAAGAGCATGGAGGAAGGAAAGGTAGGAGAGGCCCTGACGTCACTGGTTGCGAAGCTGCGATGAAGCCGGAAGTCGGACATATAAACTGGGCAAATTCTCCTCTCTTGTTTACATATTGACAAGTGTTTATAATGAAAAGAACGATGATAGAAATGTTTTGTAGATTCCAGCTAGTGGGTCAGGGGGTTTTTCGGGACGACAACGAAGCAGGCATGTTGCTGTACAGCTGATCCTCAATACGCTCTTTTCGCTGCCGTAAGCTGCTGTCATCTTTTGTTTGCGTTGCACTGCGACACTGGTGGAGGAGCTGGGCCACGACGCTGCCCAATGCTTCACACTCCTAGTGGGAGCCGTTCATACAGCCCGGACGTGCCTACTGCGACCGCTGTCCATCGATTCAGTCGTCGGCTACGAGGTATTCCTCCAGACTGCAACCCCTCGCAGAAAACCTCTACCAGACATCTAGAAATGGCTAACACCAGCCCCCAGCCTGTACTTCTCGGCACCAGTCCTCCCGCTCCATCCCAGGTAACGTTCTTTCAATCGCTGGAGCGTAAACGCTTTCGTGGTGGCGCGCACGAAGATGTAGAAGACTGGTTAGACCACTATGACCGTGTTGCGAAGATCAACCAGTGGTCTGCTCAGGAAAAGCTCGACCGGGCCTACTTCTATCTCGATGACAGCGCTCGTACTTGGTACGAGAATAGAGAAGGTAACCTGTCCAAATGAACCGACTTTCACCAGAAGATGGTTGAAACTTTTGCAAATGTCGACAGACGTGACCGCACCCACCAACTACTAGCGCTAAGGGTTCAAAAACCCAATGAAACGGTCGCCATGTTCGCCGGAGACATGACACGTTTATTTTGGAGGGCTGACCAGCAGATGACCGAAGATAGGAAGTTGCGCTACCTCATGCGTGGCGTGAAAGAGCAGCTGTTCGCCGGACGTCTGCGCGGCCCGCCAAGCACTATAGATAACTTCATCAAAGAAGTGTCGGCTATCGAGTGGGCCCTTCACCAACGCTGCCGACAATATGACCGCTTGTGTAGCAGCCCCCAAATTCAGGCCGCTGCTGTGACGTTTGACAGTCACAGCTCCTTACGTGACATGATAAGGGAGATTGTTCGTGAAGAACTGCGAAGGCTGCGGACTCCGGTAGTGGATACACCCATGGCATCTGTCCCTCAAGTCCTCCGTGACGAAATCCGCCAAGCATTCTTGACAGCTGATCCTGCCCCCGAACAAGGTCCCATGACGTACGCCCCCGCCCTTCGGAGCTCCCCACGCGCTCCGCCTTCATACTACCCGCCACTTGCAACTGTTCCTTGGTCACCACCACAGGGGGAGACATCGCGGTGCCCACCCATCCAGCCGCAATACGACCAGTCGTCTTCTGGCCTGCCATGGCCTTCGTCGCGTGAGGAGTCATCACGGCAACCACAGCTTCGCCGAACAGACACCTGGCGCACTGTCGATAGGCGTCCACTCTGTTTCAACTGCGGAGGTGTAGGCCACATAGCCCGCTATTGATGGCACCGCGCCGATCCGTCTCGCCCTCTCAGGCTACAGTTTGACATTCGACATGCCAACGACTACGTATCCCGCCGTGGCGATGTCGGTTCTCAAGGACCTCCGGTACCTCGACCCCCATTCGAAGGCCGCCGTAACAATGATGACGAGACTATAACTGATTACGAGCCGGTCTTCCGACATCGGCCACGCTCTCCTTCTCCTGCCCAGTCACCTTCGTTGCAGCGCCGCACTTTTTCCGACACCAGAGGAGCGAAGTCACCCAGCCCACACGGGGGAAACTGAAGGCGACGACCTGAAGGAGTAAGGTTGCAGGCTGTCAAGACGAAGAAAAAAAGCCCCCATTACTCCCACTTCAGGACGCTGTAAAGCCGACAAGACGTAATACCAACAAAGCTGTGACCCCTGGCCTTACCGTTCTTGTGGATGGGCAGCAAGTCAAAGCTTTAGTCGACACCGGGGCTGACTTCTCTATTATCAGTGATGACCTTGCCGTACGCCTTTAGAAAGTAAAGATAGCGTGGACGGGACCTCACTTAAGGACGGCAGGCGGCCAATTACTGATGCCTGTCGGCATGTGCCCAGCAAGGCTCGACATCGGTGGCTCTACTTTGGTGGCGACGTTCGTCGTTCTCGCTTCATGCTGTAAAGACCTGATTATCGGAATGGATTTCTTGAGAGAACATGGTGCCGTCATCAACGTCCCTGACAGTGTCATTACGTTTCGCAACAACAGCCCTACTTTAGTCGATTGTTCAGAGCCGAAACATACGTCTTGTTCAGGGCCTTTGCGTCTGACGGATGACGATGTGGTCGTCCCGCCACGATCGTGTACGCTTGTTTCGGTGGCAGGGGATGAGCCGTTTTACGGCGAAGGTATTGCTGACCAAATAAGCTCGCTGATATTTAGCCATGGTATTT